AGACTTTTCATTTTCGAGACATTTTTACAATCAACAACTCTTCTTTTATCTCTAGCTGAAGTTTGAAACAGGGTCATTGATTGTCGACAATATTGGAAAAAAAATAAGAGTAGGTAATACTGCTTTGCTAGGAAAAACACCGTATGTGCCATCAGCCGTCGGCCCTATTTCCTTCGTCAAACCATGGATTTTCAGGAAAATTCGGCATAATTTTCTTCCGATTTTTCAGAGTATTTCGTTCGTAATTTGATCGAAAAACTCTGAAAATTCTAACTAAAAAGATTCGTAACTTTCTTAAAAAATAACCGCGGCTCTTCAAAAAGACATTTGACCTCAAGGTGAAATATATCCTATAAAAGTAACTATTATCAAGAGTAATAAAATAAAAATTCCTCTTAATCAAACTATTGTTTTTTTAAAAGATTTCTTAAAAAATCCTCTGAGTAGTAATTTGGCAACATTCACATGCTCATACGGCGTTTTTCCTCAGTGCGGCAGAATACTGAACAAACTGAGTAATTGCGATGTATCGATTGTTATGCCATTTAAACCTATGGTAAAGAATCGATTATTAAGGTATTCGCTGCGAACACCCTGTTTATCGATCGTTTCCATAGGTTTGAATGACACATAAATCGATGTATCGCAAAGCACGCCACGCCACTGAAAAACGTGGTTGGAGTTTACACAATGTACCAACACCCAGACTGATTTCGTCCCTACTACTTAAGTATTCTTTCTCAGCTCACCGAGTCAGTATGAATGCATGAACAAATTACACTTTCAAAGGCTCTATTAAAAGCTAAGTGAGTGGAAGAGGAACCCGGTGCCCCGGCTGTCGGCGCAACTTATGACGCATTTGTCCCTCGCGCTCGGCGAGAAGGGTTGGTCGTCGGTCGGAGCGGAGGGTTCGGGCTCGGGAGCGACTCGGCTCACGCGAGCCTTAATGGCGTTTGTTTTGAGCCGGCAATAAAGCAGGGCCGATCGATGCCACGAATTTATTGCCGCCGATAATCGTGCCGGGCTCATCCGCAGCGGCACTTCGCCGCGTCACTTCGTTAGTGCCCGCCCCGGCCCCGGCTCGCTCGGCCTTATCGAAAACGCATAAATTTTTGCGTGAGGAGCTTGCGCAACTTGCTCATACCTTCTCCGATCCGATCCGATGGGAGAGCTACCGCTTGCGTCACGGGTCCTTTGTGGCGAGTGGAAAAGCCACGGTCCAAGCTCCGCACTCGATTGGACGATCTGCATATCAAGCTCAAAGCTCGGGCTCACAACAGTCCACCTCGTCCGATTTACGACTCTTCATACTCGGTGACGCAGTGGGCTGATTGGCTAAAATTGATAGACAAAACGATAGGCGAAGAAGATGTAGGGAGTATGCAGCGATCCTACTGGTTAAAATGGATGTTTCTTGTATCGATATCGATCGGGTCAGCATGTAAACACATGCATAGCCATAAAAGTCAATTTAGTATTCTGAGGGAACGTGTTTTTTGTGATAGATTTTTTATACTTATGAGTACAAAATGACAATGAAGAGTGACATTTTCAGCTTTTCCAACTTGAATCCTAAAATTTTTGTTTGGGTCATATTCTATTGTTTTGAATCAAAACATACATTATTGAACTACTATCCAATACGATCTTTTAAAGAAGGACCTCAGTTATCCGCGATAATTGAACCCGCAGAAGTACTGCGGATAATTCGAACTTTTATGAACCGCGGACCGAAACAGCACCGTATTGAGTATATACCATGTGTCGACGGTATACTTTTCTACTCATGCGTTGAAGTCTTTTCAATCAATGCGTTCGTAAAATTCCCTTGAAGTCTTGCAAAGGGTAATAAGTCACAAAGGAAGCAAGATCCGACTCTATTTTCACTCCTCTTATGTATGAAAGAACTTCTTACACGCGTTGATAAAGCGAATGAGACCTCTTCACATTTGAAGAGCGGTGATGTTTGGTGTCGACTGTGCGATATGCATCCTGTGATGAAGGAAAATTACGCCATGTATATAGGGTTATTCAAAAGTCACGCACCACTGGCCATAACTTTAGCTCTAGTTACGATCGATTTGCGGTTTAAGACGTTTTTCCGCATATCGAGGGGGAACATTTTTTTAGGTACTTTCCAGTTTTTGATCCCCTCGAGGGGAGGGGGCGGGGGGCAACTCAAAAATTTCAAATGACCACCCCCTCATGGCCAGCGGTACGTGACTTTTGAATAACCCTGTATCTTGAATTTAAAGAACGCAACCACTTCCAGATATCTGATATATGTATTGAAATAAGCTTATTCACCCTAAATTTCAACCATTCGTACCATTTTTTCGTCTGGAAATTTAAATTTTAAGTATAGAGCCTATGCTTGAACTGTCGCGTTTTAGGTTTGTATAGACAAGTTGGGATGGCGTTACATTGACCCTCGCTGGATCAGCGTTCGGCGAGGATCGGAGTTAGAGAGTTAATCGCGAGGAGGTATGCAAAGCAACACTCAAGTGCGGAACAAATAGTGACGAGTGACAAATTCCGCTCAGGGCTGAAGAGGTCCAGTGGGTCCGGTATAATTAGCCGAGTTTTCATTGCCACTACGGCGCGGCGACTGCTCTCCCAGGACTGATCAATGAACAGCATACAACAACGACTCTCGCACCGAGAGAGGGCTCTTTACACCGTTGCAACTTCGAAAACTCGAGATTAACTCAAGACTGTTTTATTTCGGATTGGATAAAGACAATTCCAATTCATTGGATAGGATGCCAATGGACCCGTTGCCAACTTTAGCTAGAGGAAAGAGAAGAGTTGCTTTTCTCAGAATGTAGCTGAAAAATCGCATTGAGTGCATCAGAATAGTTTGAAATGCACTTCTAACTTCACAATCTGCTCAAAAAATACGGATTTTTTAAGCTTCGCGCCTCAAAAACGATACCACGGAACATTCCGTAAGAGGTGTCGTTTCACCCAACCCTTGAGCACTAGGACGCTGCACTATATTCAACGTGTATTCAAGTACACGTTCGTATTTTCTGCTCAATGCACGGAAGTGAAGTACGAGGAATGAGTTGGGATAGGTACGGATGCGGCCGTGCACTGGAAAAAAAAGTCGCTTGGATCTGGAGCTCAGACTCTTAAAAACATGGACCAGAAAAAATGCTGTTGATTCAGTTGGATTTGTGGTTAGATCGAGAACCAAGCCTCTTTATTTAAGCGGATTTCCTTTTGACTCAAGCAAAAATCCGATTGAATCAAGAGTATTTTTTCTTGTCATTGTTTTCAAAAGTCTGGACTCTAGATCCAAGCGACTTTTTTTTCCAGTGCGAAGTTTTTTTTCTAGTGTGTGCTGAGCTGGGTTGGGTTGGGTTGGATGATGAAGTACCAAAGAATAGATTGAGAAAATACCCTTTCATTCCCTTTTCACAACAAATCCCTCGAAAACCCCGATGAATACAAAGCGGATTTGTTTTCCAACGAAACGGAGGACGTGCGGGGGAAGGATGTCGCATTTGTCCAAAAGTGAACTATTTTACTTGAAAACCGGCCGCGATGGCCGGGACGATTGCATTTTTTCCGAGGAGCGGCCTCGCGGCGAGGCGGAGCAGCTCGGGGCAGCGGCGCGCGGCGCTGTTGGGCGACAGTCGCGAATTGGACAGCGATCATTATTGCGACCTGTGACCCCGGCGCTCGTCGCGGTGACCCCAACCTGTCTCGCTTCATGTTCGCACAAAACACTCGATTCGCTGGAAAACCTGACCTCTAGGCCTCCATCCATGCAGCGTGCTAAATCCGCCAGAGCGACCAGAACGATCAAATCAATAAAGAAAAAACGACAGACGAATAAAAAATGGGATTACACACTAACAGATGCAACAGAGAGGCTTCGATAGTCAGGATTTTTTTCTATAAAAATGCGGAAGTAAAATGTGGTACAATGGAGGAACAAAGACCCTCGCATTTGCTTAAGACAAATTTTTTCATGAGGCCGGCAGTAAATTATTAATTAAGGCACTCTGACTGTAAGGGGTGTCATTATACCTTAAAGGATTGTACTTAAAATACCTCGCAGGTTCCTAACAAGGAGGGAAAGATTAGGTCAAAGCAGGATTCTAATGAATTCATTCAATGTGAATCTTCGCTACAGAGGTAAAAAACATATCAGAAAAAGTGTTAGCACTCATATACGTGCAAATAATTTTTCACATTTTGGTGTTAATAATGCTTGCGATCGTGAAAATTCATATTACCCCTTTAATAGAGGTGCACATACACACAATATACTGAAAACAGGCTTGATATTTTCTATGCTTTTTGTGACGTCTCAAGTAAGGGAGTAGCCCGGTAGCCTTCCAAAATCTAAGTGGATAAAAAAGTGGTTGAAGAATGCAATTTTAAAAAAGTAAGTAATACATAGGCAGAATTCAACTTTATTCTTTCTTCTTCTTTTTTCGCTCATGTTAGGAGGAAGGGTTTGACTTATGTCTCGGTGTCTTCTGAGTGGGTTTAAGTATCGGAACAAGTGACTTACTTACGGTCCCTGTTCCTTTGGGACACCGATGTACGTAAAACTGTCATAGTTAGGTTTACCAACATTTAATGCTTTGCTACGTATGTCACCTGTTTAGGCCCTTGTGTCACTCTTATAAGTGGAGCTTATCTGCACCTATATCACACGAGATGTACACCGCAACATGAGTATGAGTAATATCGGTACATGACCACGATTTTTTAGATGTATAGTTCTTTCAACAGTTGTGAATAACACATAAGATATCGTATCGATGCCCAATGTATCAGGAAATATAATGTTCCTTCAAATCCAGTAATGCAATTGGATGCCCAAGCTTTGAAGCGCGTCGCTCGTGCAAGATACGTGAACCATGAGATGAAAGTTTAAGCTGCGCCTGCATTTACAACCGATACAATTTTTCTTACCTCTGTTCGTTCGTGTTTTGTCAAGGAGAAATCTACTGATTGCTAACAAATATGTTTGGTTTCAGGTGTGGAAGGCGGAGGCTGACGACCTGAGTGGACACGCGGGTCTCACACGATTGGTGGCGGTCAAAACGGTCAAAGAGGGCGCCTCGAGCAAGGAGCGAGAAGACCTCCTTCGGGAGTTGGGCATCATGCAAGACCTCGGCTCCCACCCAAATGTGGTTCAACTTCTTGGCTGCTGCACTGAAAAAGGTCCGTTGATGAAATTCTTCTCCTCTAAACGTTTGTCTAGACTTGTGATTGGATTATGACATTTCAAATTTGATTAATCAATTCTTAGCTTACAATTAGAGCGAATTCGCCATCAAACCAAAAATATGAAGTTTTTGCTTTTGTCTTTACTGTAGCCTTTTCCCCTTGACTCATTGCAAAGGACTGTTTTTTTTTCTAAATTTATGTGCCAGAAATGGTAAATTTGTAAAAGTTTCTTGATGATTTTAAGTGCACAAGATACAGCCTTAAATATTTTATTCTAACTGACATTAAAACTTTGGGTTACAGCACAAGCACTTTCCAATTCAAAGCTCTTAAATTAAAACAAGTTGTAAATTTCGAAGAAAAAGCCAGTCACCGTGAGAAAATATCCACGATGCTCGTTACTCATTATTTCTAGTCAATTTTCACAGCCTGTAATTTTTCAAATTAATTTCTTTTAGAATCCTGGTATTTCATTGAAATTGTTTTGTCTTCTTTTCAGAGCCTTATCTCTTGATAATGGAATATGTTATGTACGGAAAGCTTCTGTCATTCCTGCGAGACCAAAGAACCAGAGCTCAATATTACAATTTCTCCGATAATGGGGAAAATTTGACCTCTAGAGATTTAACAGTATTTGCTTACTGCGTTGCCAGGGGCATGGATTATCTTGTTTCCAAAGGCGTAAGTTTCCTGTTTTCATGTTTATTGTTTTATTTTTTTAAGTGACATTGCTATTATATAAGTACGAGGTCACTGCATTCCTTTCCCCTTTTTTTCCCCTTTTTTTTCAACTAATAATTTCAGTTTTGCATCAGTCTCTTACATCCAAATCACTAATTCTGACAGGAGACACAATTTTGCTATGATAGTGGCACTAAGAAATAATTATGAATTCAAAATCTTCTTTAAACGCAATAATTTCAGTTTTGCATCAGTGTTTAACACCCAAGTCACTAATTTTGTCGGACTTTTTGACGGAGTACAATACGTATGATTCTATACTCAAATGACCTTGAAAGTTCCAAAGTTCTAATAGATATATTTTTCTGTCATTGCAGATCATCCACCGAGATTTAGCTGCAAGGAATGTTCTTGTAGACCATAACAAATTATGTAAAATAGCAGACTTTGGAATGTCCCGTAATGTGCGAGACACCGGGCAAATTTACGAACAAAGACACAGCAGAGTAAGTATCGAAGCTGCAATTCACACCAACGGCTTATTTTGTGTTCAGTAGCCCCGTGAGATTCTCAAGAAGATAAAGTGATTAATGACTAATTTTCTAAATGGCATAATTATCAATCATTCTAGAATATTTTTTATAGGAAAGAAGACACCTCAGCTCCTCTCAGGTAATCTTAAGAAATACTGATGAAATTACCGAAAATTTTTCGGTGACAGTTCAAGCTTATCGATCTTCATTTCAAATGCCATTTTGTATTTTAATTTTAATTTGCTCTACCGTTAATAATGCGAACTTTAAGTTTTAATAACACGCATTATTTACCATGAACCATTAAAAATACGCATACCAGCCAGAAATAGTCACACTTTTGGTTCTGATTAACAGGGCGCGCTACCAATCAGATGGATGGCTCCAGAATCGCTCCACTATTCTTTATTCACTCACAAGACTGATGTATGGAGTTTTGGAATCCTAGTTTGGGAAATCGTCACTTTAGGTATGTAAAAATGATCTATTCCCTAAAATTTAACTATAACATCGCTCTTTCAATGAGCCTCTGTCAGTCTATCGGACATATTACTTTTCCGCTCCTTCCGCTCCAAATTTGGTTTAAAAAGAGAACTTGAGCCGAGTTCCAGTTTTATTCAACATTTTAATAAATTCAATTTTCTTTGAACTCCTGATTATCTGTAAATCAACTCTACTCAGCTTGAAACGTCTAGAGTCATTTGACTATTGAAATTTTCTCGCTTTATTTATAACTATAGTACGTTGATAAACGCAGATGTCACGCCATTTCAAAATAATAACTTCATTCCAATGTCAACAACTGGGAAGGAGAATTACTTTTTTCAGGGAATCGGGTCAGCAACTTTGTTTCCAGATTTTGTTCACCGGAAATCTGCTACGAAACGCAGGCTTATAAAAATTGGGGAAAATCCAGTCATTTTTCATGTGAATGTGTGGCGCATTCTCTGCCTTTAAGTAAACACAGTAATATTTCTATTAAAATTTGCCAATATTATTAAATTGATTACATTATTGATTCCGTTTTCTGATCAGGTCTGACACCATACCAGTCAATGGAAGCGAGGGACGTGATGCGGCGAATTCGGACCGGTTATCGTTTGGAGCGACCGTCTCACTGTCGCACAGAGCTTTACCAAGTGATGGTCGACTGCTGGCGAGCCAACCCCGCAGACCGACCCACCTTTGCAGAACTGAAGAAGGCCCTCTGCGCACTGTTGGAAAACAATGAGTACGAGGGAAACTACGTTGACCTAGAGAGCCTCGCAGATGAGATGCACAGGCAAGGATGAAACAATCGCCACTTTCCTCGTTAGGCGGTAATCGGGATTTCCACGGTCGCCGTTAACGGGTCCTAAAGTGTTGTAGACTCGTTCGATTTTGTTGAGTCCTGTGGGAATCACAGGGAAGCCACTATGCCTGAAGACTTTTGAGTATAGGAGGTTTCCCCTCTCTCCCCTCGCCTTGTCACCCGGAGACAATCTTAAGCATTCAACCGACTTGTCCTGGTGGATCCCCTCGTTAAGGCCACCTAGTGAAACAGATTTTGTAAACAAAATTTCTAATTACAATATAACATTTTTTTGAGTTTTCTGTTATATTAGTCGATTTTATGAGACTTGGCTATGGGTTTATCGCCCACTACCTAGATGAGACTTCGCTATAAGTTTATCGCCCACTAGATGAGACTTTTAAGGAAAGGACAAACGATGTCAATTTTTACTGTAAATTACCAACAACATTATTTTTTCATGAAAAGTAAAGAAGTTTCCGTGAAATATAAGGTTGGTTCATACATGTTAAATACACCAGCGATCGTGATCAGACAAAACTATTTTGATTAGAGTTTTGTCAAATGCAGCATCCAAATTTTGTGTAGACAAAGGGACAACTCAGTCAACTGAGTCACGACATCGTAAGGTTCGACAAAGGTCCACTTTACCTTCTTGCTGCAACGTGTTTGGTCCCTCAAAAAGATGCCCCTTTCTCTGAAAACTAGGGAATGGACCACTAGGCGACATGCTACAGTACGTCAAAGGTGCAAATTGATGTATGTACTCTCTGATGTATGTTTTTCTTCAAAATTTTAAGTGAAACATAAGCCAATGATGTCAATGATCGAACCAGGCAAGCAAATCTACTGTGATTTATTTGTATATAGTTATTTTTAGTTTCATTTTTAGTGTAAAATATTCATCGTGGGAAAAGATGATCAATTCTTGAGAAAGCTCGAATTTAGAAGTTTATTAAAAGGATAGGCGTATGCCACCATAAATACGTAGTCTACTGTCAGAGGATTTTTTTTTTTTTTTTTTTTTTTTTTTTTTTTTTTTTTTTTTTTTTTNTTTTTTTTTTTTTCCAAGAAAAAAATCTCGGCTCAAGATTCAAGTGAATCAGCCAGGGGAGCCATTTTCGAAACCTCTTAAGCACGTTTTACTAACAAAAATCTACGTTTGTAAGATTCGGCTCGTCTCTTCTTGTATATTGTGTAAAAAACGTTTCAGTTCAAATCTTCATTTGAACAAAAAAAGCATGAAAGGTTCTTACACAGTATTTTTTCCTCTTTAATCGCTGCAGCACAAATATTGGGTATAAATTTCGTTTATTTTCGATTTCCGTTCGAATCTTAGTTTTTTTCTAGCAATTTACTATAGGCATGGCATAATTTGAAACAGTTTTTAAATTAGTTTATCAAAAGCATCATTGAACAATTCAAAACATTTATGATTCCTCTCGTTTATCATGTGCGATAATAATATCATATTTTAATATCATTTTTATTTTAGTAGAACTAAACCTATTCCTTGATTTTGCCCCGAAACGTACTTCTATATTCTAGATTCTGACTTTTCCGTTCGCTTGCTGTCATTCTCTAAATACATACATATAGGTAGCTTTATAGCACTCCCTCTCGCGATCTGCGACTCCTAACCTCCGCTGCTCTCTGTCGAACTACAAACCTTGGGGCATTGAGCATCTTAACAGTTCTGCCTCAATCCCCTCCCTTCAACCTCTCATTGGGCGCCCTCTGCGTCTTCTTCCAGGAGGAACCCAGTCTAGGACCTTCTTCGGCAACCTGTCTCCTGCCATTCTCTGAACATGGCCATACCAAATAAGTTTTTTAAATACTTCTTTAATATCTCTTCACAAAATTTTACGACCACTGAATGCTTTTTTTAGAGAAAAAAATAAATAAATAAATAAAAAGCCTTGCTAAGAGGATTAAAGGAAAAATGCTGTTACTGACAGTTTTACGGTTTTACATATCTATGTTTTAACAATGAAGAATGCGTAAATGCCTTTTTTATCAGAACCTATTTATGCTTTTAATATTTCCGGCAAAAAAAGTAATTATCAAGAGTATGCCAACAAAAAGTAATGTTACACCTTTGTAAAGCTCTCATTCAATAATTTATTTTTAATTAGAAAATTAGTTGCGTGTAAATGTTTTTTCATTGAAAGAGACATACATTTTCACAACTGCGTTTTGAAATTCATTTTAGCAAGAGTCATCAAATGTTTGAGCTCTTTTACCTTATTTTGTCCTATATGCAATTCACTAGCGGTTTTGTGAAAGAGTGAATTTTGTGATCATGCTCGTACTTTAATTTTATTTTTAAATCCTTGCAATTTTATACATCTACAAATAATCGTATTCCTAGAGCTGGAGTCTTTAACCTCAATCAACAGGCTGCAGTGAAAGCTATTTTTTGTTTCTTTTTTTAAAAATTGTTTTTTATTTTAATACATTGTGTTGTAAGTCACCTCCAACTTTACAAAAAACGTGCCTTTAGAAATTGAAATTTCTCAGTTTGTATCAATTACTCTAGGTTTTGAATTCCAGTTTAACATGAATTAATTTGAATAATCGAAAATCGTAGCAAAAACTCATATTCTAGTCCAAATATTCGTACTTGCAGAGCACCGAAGCTTATTTTTCTTAAATTCGTAGCCACTCAATTTCTTTCAAAAGCATTGGCAATCCCATAATGTATACGTGTAAAGTATGTTACTTACTGAAAATAAAATCATATTTTGTTAACTGCTAGTTATTTATTATACCTTTCCTTGCAAAATGCACCTGAAACGATCGAAGTTAATAGTGTTTCGGGAGCATTGAATACATAAGTGCAATATCGTGAGGTAATACATTGACTATGCTGCCGTGCTAAGGAAGAACGCCGTATGAGCCTTCAGGCGTTGCCAAATTCCCTTTGATAAAACACGAATTTCCTGGTAAACTTATGAATCTTTTCCGTCCAATTTTTCAGATAATTTTGTTCGCAATTTCAGCTGAAGTTCCTAGATTTTCAAGGAAAAATATTCATGTCTTATCTGAAAAATAAACATTTTATCGGAGAGAATTTGGCAACTCTCGAAAGTTCATACGGCGTTCTTCCATAGCGGGGGCAGTATGATGACGGGTTCCAGGACATTTTGTCAACGATTTTTTGTCCTGTTTTGTCCAGTAGTTTACGCCCGCACGTAAAATAAGCAACAGTGACTTGGTCCAAGCGTTATATTTTAGTCGGTATGTAAAATTATATTGACAATATGGAAATTAGAAATTGAGAGAGAAGGAGGTGTTATCATGGATGCTCATTTTCTAAATGAAATTATTACTTCATTTTGACAACATTTATTTTTTTAAAACGTGACAAATATTTGTAAAACCTTTTCCAAGTGACCTTAATTTCAATGAGCCGCAATTGTGCCGACAGAAACTGCAAAAATGAATAAAAGAGGGGAAAAAACCAAGAAACTTGCAATCTTTAGTTTTAACCCATTTGTACATCGCTGTGTTAGAGTCAAATATACGTCAATTTTGAGCGTTTGGTTGCGCGTGCACCTCGTTGCAGCACAATAAAAGTACAAAATGTAAAAGAAAAAATTAAAGTGCTTTGGAAATCATTAAATTTGACACAAAACCACCAATTTTTAAAAAACACACATTATATTATTATTCTCTTTTGATAAATTAATATATATTTTTTTCCCACCAATTTACATGAGAATAATCAATGCAGAGTGTGCAAAAATTTTAAAATCATGAGTTAAAAAACGCTGAATATGCGAGTATAAATATTAAAGCCTATCAGAGCAGAGCGGCGTGCTGCCAGCGCGAGAGGCTCACTGGCGCCTACAAACCCAAGTGGATACTTCACGCATTGCACAATGCTTGAAGTATCCACTTAGGTTTGAAGGCGCCAATGCGCGTTCCGCGCTGGCCGCCCGCGCCCGCCCGCCATGCGGCGGCGCCTGAAGCAACTATTTCACAATAGAGGTGTTGCACAGTATTATACAAAATTAAACGTATTAAGAATGACAGGCGTCCTTTAAAAGTACGGATCTTTTCTTGCAAAATAAATCAAGATACTTATCGTACACAGGAAAAATCTAAGAGCCTTTAGATGAGGCAAATATAGAGGTTTATCCGGTTCAGGTATAAGAAGGTGGGAATTTCTTGAAAGATAATTAAGTCCTGTCACACTAAAGAGGTGTAGAGAGTTTCAGTGAATTTTGTCTCATGGAATTGACGCTCCCCCATTTTTACCAAAACTCTCAACTATATATTATTCTCCGTTGGACCAAACGGACAAAACAAAGAAACAAGCAAACCATCATTCTTCCGAGACATCATACATTTTCATCAAAAAACGTCGGGAGCAATTGTCGTTTGTATTTACATGTGGGCCAATTAACTTTGGGTCTCAATAATTGGTTAGTGGACCAAAACTCCCGTGCCGGAAAAATGCTAGACGGAAATTACTGGAAAAAATAGGTGCGCGGACCAAAAATCGTTGACAAAATGTCTTATAACCTGATGATGCGCTGTCTGTGCAATTCATAAAAATGTGCAAATCCCGCTGGATTGATCTCGGGTCATACTTCATCGTGTGTCAGCAGCAGTAAATATAAGCTCCTCTTTGTTGAGAACAAAATATGTATAATGAAGTTTTGGTAGTAGTATCATTTTGGTCTCTCTTTCATTGTCAAATTTTGAAAAATTATAGAAAAAATTCTAAGTATGAGACAATGCAGCAAAGGAAGGATGACAAACATTTTTTTTAAAATCTTTCTCTGCTCTTAATGTTACTGCTACTCTTTTTTACCTGTAGCTGCCGACAAACATCAGGTTCATTTGACGTTTAAAATCATACATTTCTTTGAAATACTTTTCTGCCCTTAATGTTACTACTACTCTTTTTTACCTGTAGCTGCCGATAAATATCAGATTTATTTGGTTTTTTCTTGAAAAGGATATCCAGATCCGTCATGAATGTCAATTGTATCGATGTTTTAACTTTTGGAAAGCTACCTAGCTCTTGCCCTTATTTTATAATCAAAATTACATATTCCTCGGGGGTCTTATTTTGCAAAATCTCACTGCACTTCAGCCAACGTGGTTGATCTTGAATTCTTAATCAGAGGCGACCCACTCTTGAAAGGTCGCAAGTACAGTCTCCACAGATCAAATGCATTTGAAGTCATTTATTTTTTGCTTGGCCACATAGTTTGTCCAGTGCTCTGTCGGTGTCAGAGAAGATTTAGTTTATTGTTGAGACCATCGGAGGAGTTTCTCTACGGTAAGCTTCCACAAACACCATACTCGTAATTTAGGTTCATCCTGTGAGTACAAAATATTTTACAAAAAATTTAAATTCAGGATGATACTCATGTATGATGACGTCCTACACGGAAAAAATTAAATTGCTGATTTAACAATTCAATTGCTAAAAAAAAGTGACTGCAATGTTTCAACATAGATTTTACAACACGAAAATAACCACTATTTGTTGCGCTCCTGGCATAAGGGCGTATAACTACACTCTGCAATGACCCCTGTCGTCCATACAACCCAATGCTTTTCCGGGCTCATCTCAATGTGTAGTTACGCCTTTATGTCAGCCAAGCGACGAGTTGTAAGCTAATTTAACCACGGGGGTGTTTAAAGTAGCATTTTTGTGCTGTAAAATCTACACTGAAACATTGCAGTCACTTTTTTTTAGCAATGGAATATGGTTAAATCAGCAAGTTAATTTTTTCCGCGTGGGTTTCCAAATCATTCTCAAATAACTGATTAAAGGGCTGGACCACATTTTTTGATGAACCAGGAGACAAGGCACAAATTCAAGTATTCTGATACCCACATCGACGGTGAAATTTCCAAAACCACGTATCTCCTCTTCGGGGTTTTGAAATCTCCGATCTTGCCTTATTTTTTTAAAGGAGAACATATCAGCACCATTCCTTGATGTTTTCTCAGAATTTTCTTTCGCGCAGATAAGAAGAATCATGGAAGTTCCTAAGAATTGACG